CTTTGCTCCCCTCCCTGCCCGCTCCCATTTTCCCCCTGGAAAAGGCCTCGGCAGCAGCTCCGTGCCCGGAACCCCGGAGCTTTTGGGATCGGAGCCCCTGGAAAAGGGGCCAAGGCCTGGGGACAGCTGGGGCCTTAATTTAGGAGCAGAAATGCTGAGCCGGGCAGGTCCAGTTACTCTGCGGGAGTTTTGTTTTCAGCCTGGCTCCTCCGGAGCTCCCGGGGCGGGATTTGGGAATTCTCGGCGCTCTGGATCCCCCAAACCCCCCCCGTGCCCCCCCGGCCTGGGCTGTGTCCAGGGGCTCCGGAGGGACCCTGGAGCTGTCACTGCCCTGATGGGAGCTGGGTCCGTTTATTCCCAAAAACCCGGGGTTGTGCCGTGCTGGATCAGTTTATTCCCAAAAACCCAGGGTTGTGCCATGCTGGATCAGTTTATTCCCAAAAACGCGGGATTGTGCTGTGCTGGGTCCATTTATTCCCAAAAACCCGGGGTTGTGCCATGCTGGATCAGTTTATTCCCAAAAACCCGGGGTTGTGCTGTGCTGGGTCCATTTATTCCCAAAAATCCAGGGTTGTGCCATGCTGGATCAGTTTATTCCCAAAAACCCGGGGTTGTGCCATGCTGGATCAGTTTATTCCCAAAAACCCGGGATTGTGCTGTGCTGGGTCCATTTATTCCCAAAAACCCGGGTTCTGCCGTGCTGGGTCCATTTATTCCCAAAAACCCGGGGTTGTGCCATGCTGGGTCTGTTTATTCCCAAAAACCTGAGGCTGTGCCATGCTGGATCAGTGGATGGATGGATGGAGGGATGGATCCATGGATGGACACAAGGATGGATGGATGACAGAGGGATCCATGGATGGATGATGGAAGGATGGATGGATGGATGAAGGATGGATCCATGGATGGATGAAGGATGGATCCATGGATGGATGGATGATGGATCCATGGATGGATGAAGGATGGATCCATGATGGATGGATCCATGGATGGATGGATGATGGATGGATGATGGATGGATGGATCCATGGATGGATGGATGATGGACCCATGGATGATGGATGGATGATGGATGGATGATGGATCCATGGATGGATGAAGGATGGATCCATGGATGATGGATGGATGATGGATGGATGGATCCATGGATGGATGGATGATGGATGGATGGATGATGGATCCATGGATGGATGAAGGATGGATCCATGATGGATGGATCCATGGATGGATGGATGATGGATGGATGGATGATGGATCCATGGATGGATGGATGGACCCATGGATGGATGGATGATGGATCCATGGATGGATGGATGATGGATCCATGGATGGATGGAGGATGGATCCATGGATGGATGGATGGATCCATGGATGGATGAAGGATGGATCCATGGATGGATGAAGGATGGATCCATGATGGATGGATCCATGGATGGATGGATGATGGATCCATGGATGGATGGATGATGGATCCATGGATGGATGGATGGATCCATGGATGGATGGATGGACCCATGGATGATGGATGGATGGATCCATGGATGGATGGATGATGGATGGATGGATGATGGATCCATGGATGGATGATGGATCCATTGATGGATGGATGCATCCATGGATGGATGGAGGATGGATCCATGGATGGATGAAGGATGGATCCATGACGGATGGACCCATGGATCCCTGGGCTCGCTCCTCCCCCGGCTGAGGAGTTCCCCGTCCCCGCAGCCCTTCGGGGAGTGGTGCCAGCTGCAGCCCAGGGACGCTGCCAAGATGCCCGAGAGCGCCTGGAAGCTGCTCTTCTACTCCGTGTCCTGGTCCTACGGCGCCTACCTGCTCTTCTGCACCGACTACGCCTTCTTCCACGACCCGCCGTCCGCCTTCCGCGGTGAGGAACCCCGAAATTCCCCTTTGGTGCCCAAAATTCCCCTTTGGTGCCCAAAATTCCCCTTTGGTGCCTAAAATTCCCAATTTGTGACCAAAATTCCCCTTTGGTGCCCCAAAATTCCCGTTTTGTGCCCAAAATTCCCCTTTGGTGCCCAAAATTCCCCTGTTGTGCCCCAAAATTCCCCTTTGGTGCCCAAAATTCCCATTTTGTGCCCAAAATTCCCCTGTTGTGCCCCGAAATTCCCCTTTGGTGCCCAAAATTCCCCTTTTGTGCCCAAAATTCCCCTGTTGTGCCCAGAATTCCCCTGTTGTGCCCCAAAATTCCCCTTTGGTGCCCAAAATTCCCGTTTTGTGCCCAGAATTCCCCTTCTGTGCCCAAAATTCCCCTGTTGTGCCCCAAAATTCCCCTTTTGTGCCCAAAATTCCCCTTTGGTGCCCAAAATTCC